GCATGATAAAGAGATGTATTTACAAGAATACAAAGAGTCACAGTCAGAATAGGAAGCACATTTATGCATGTGTCATACACAAACTGTTTCTCGTTCGTACTAGCTAGGCCGACTCAATTAAGGAGTAAAATGCTGGCTATATTAATTTTTTTCCAAACGAGATCAGATGTGATTTTATACTTCAACCATTTTTTAAGAAATAAGAATGTACGGTCACTCACACCAATCGAGCTGATTAATGAGGCTCAAGTGGCGGTGGCCATTAACCGTCCATCATGCCCGTTTGAAACCTTGAGAGAGAAATTAAGGAATTTTAATTTATAAAATAAAGGTAATTTTATTTCTTCTTCATTCTATAAAAGCAGCAATTATTATTGCATGGACCGTGGACCACACAATTGTGTGGACCATGGTCCAAAAATACATAATGTACATTATTATAATGCATAAAATATATTATTATAACACATAAAATACATTTTTTTTGAAGGACACAAAATACATTATTTTAACTCATAAAAACTATTATCTTACTCCAAAAATTTCATCATTCTAACACAAAGTACATTATACATTATTCTAACTCATAACATACATTATTCTAACTCATAAAATACATTATTCTAACTCATAAAATACATTATCTTACCCAAAAATTTTATTATTTTAATACATATAAAGTACATTATTTTAACACATATAGTACATTATTCAAACTCATAAAATACATTATCTTATCCCAGAATGTTCATTATTCTAAAACACTCGCGGAACAAAGAATTTTATTTTTTAATATCAAAACGACGTCGTTTTGGACCGTGGTCCACACAAAACACCATAATTTTCCATAAAAGCAGATATGTAGCGAAATGTTTTCTCTTACGAATGCACTTATTATAAAATTACTATGTTACCATATAATGTTACATAATAGAATCAGTAGCATTCAAAAAAAAAAATTACATTATTTTCTATGGTACAACAGTGTATTTGACTTTGATCAATTTTCCTTTATGAAATTACTAGTATGATACCCATGCGATGCATGTGATGAATATTGTTCATCTTATTGTGTAATTGTGTGAAAAATTTAAGAGATGATGTAATATATAAAAAGTTGGAATGGAATATAAAATGAAAAATAGAAACAATAAAGAAATTACTTTAACATACAATATAGAAAAATAAGAGTGACAAAATTACAAATTTTTGAAATTTTGTGGTATATACCATGTTGGTTGTTGATGTATAGATCTATTATAATTTTCTGAGTACTTTTTAGTTGAATGTACGTAGACGTAGCAGCCTGGTTATCCCGGAACATATTGTTTATGGTTGTGCATGTTGGTGTTGATGTAATTTTTCTAAATCTTATTACAGTTTCCTAACATTTCAGGCGACTATTGGGTTAATACAAAACAGAAAACATAGGCGAACCCCCATTTTCACCAAAAGATTAGTGGTTTTTAGTGCTAACAGTTTAATAAAAAGACATAGATCATTGACTACATGATAACTACAAAATATGTTCTACTATATTTATGTTTTTGAAATGAGAATGAAATACCTTTGTTTTGATGATAATGTTTCCTCTTTGACCGAATGGTGCATGAAGATGTAATCTTCCTCATGATCTGTAATCGCAATGCTTACCCTTTATGTTTTGTGATGGAATGTTCTTAGTGTGTTCTGCCACCCTTTTGTTTGTAACTTCAATCTTAAGTTAGGGCTCATTGAGAAAGGAGTCATTAATAGCTAACCATAATTATTCCCATAAACATAAACATTTTATGAGAAAACAAATATGCCTACTGGAGTAATTGATTTTGATTGGCTTAAAAATAAATGTTGCACTAAAAATAGATAGAAACCAAATAAATCCTCACGAATATTGTGTGTTTTTTAGCCTAGTAATTATCAATGGTAAATGATTAATGGAAATAAAATATGGAAGTATTAATATTCTATATACTAAAATTATGTTGAATATTCTATATATATATATATATATATATATATATATATATATATATATATATATATATATATATATATATATTCGTGTGTCAAAGTCTTAGAAGTAATTAATACATACATATTATGTGTCAAAAGTACATAAAAGGTTCCTTTACTAGGTATATAACTTTAATTAATTTGTTGAATTTTTATTTTTTTTTGAAAGGTAATTTGTTCAATTTAATCAATCTACTAAAATTTTAATTAATTCACTCTGCTTTTAAAATTCATATAGAAAAAATTAATAAGTTAATTTATTAAGGAAATGTATTAAGATAAAATACTACTTTAGTCAATGTTATTAATACCAAGTATTATTATAGTGATACAAATTCAATTTCTAAATTCAACTCATCTTAATCAAAACATAATACTTTGAAAGAAAAATGTGAAATGTACTCTCAGAAGTATTACTCTCATCATCTCACATGTATTGATTGAGTGAATAAAAAAAAAAAAAAACTAAAGTAAATAATCTCATAGAACTAAATAATAATCAAAATAGGGAGTAAATTAAACTGATGTACAACTCCACTTAAAATTGATAATTTTATCTATACACAAGCATTCTTAGAATGCACAGTAGCATATAAATATGAATATGTACACACAACTAGGGAAGTCTTTTTGTGTCTCTTTTCCAGTGCTGTCATACCAAAAAAAAAGAAATAAATTGGTAATTTTGGAAAAAAAAAACTTTTTATTTTTCTTTTGCTTTATCAATCAGAGCATGTGAGAGGATATAAATTACAGTAACTCAGTGATTCAACAGATAGAGCCAAATGCCAGTGCGCACAAGAAATTTGCCCACTTCACACTGTCGTTGCCGAATTTCGCTCCCAAATACTACATACTAAACCAGTGAGTTGTATGGACCTTTCTAATTTAGATAGGAGACACAAAGAACTACTTTCCCTGACTTGCTGAGTGTCTGAGTTGCTGGAAGTTGTAATCTTGTAATTTGTAAAAGTGTTGGAGACTTAGAGGGTACTATTTAAGTTGGAGTGTTGGACAATGGACAATATAATTATGTATATTTTTAAATTTGTATTTTAGTTTTTGTATAAAGTTTTAAGTTGTAACATTTAATTTGTATTTATAACCTGTAATGTTTTGTTACTAAACTATAATTAAGACTAGAGTTCAACTGGTTTAGTTTGAAGTTGTTAATTTTTTTATTTTTTTTTTTCAATTCGAACAAAACCGAAATCCGACTAAAACGAACCAAACAAATAATATTCCATGTGATTTATATTTGAAATTAAACGAATTGGGTATACATTTTACAAACCGAAATTCGAACCGCCCGAACCAGTCCGATGCAGAGGCTACTTTCCCACAAACTTATTTAAATTGGTCATTTATATTAGAGCTGACCTTCAGAATTGATTTTAAACGCTTTGGCGGCTCTGCTTGTTCTTCTTCTTCCATGGAAGACAACAGCTTCTCCTTAGATTTCTTCCTTCGCTTTAACTTCTTATTACCACTGTCAATTTCCTCAACGTTTTCGTTTATGCTAACCGTCTTCTTCGGAGCTCTCTTTTCAGGCACAACAATCATCGTATCTTCTTTATTATCCTCGTTGTCATTTCTCTCCGCCGCCTCGACAACCGCAGGAGAAAGGATTCCGGCGGCGGCCAACGGCGGCGGATTGCCTAGAGTGACGGTTTTGGAAGCCTGATCTTGCAGACTAGAGAAGACGAGGCGGTAGAGGTGGAATGCGTGTTCTGCTACGAAGTCGAAAAGCCGTCGCAGGAATCCCAGGCCGATGCAGATGGGGCAACCTAGGTTCATTGTCTTGGAATTTGGAAAGCAAGCAAAATTGAATTCTAGGTAGGAAACTGCGTGCTTTTATTTACATATATTATTATTATAGTAAAATAATAAGGGTGGAGTAGACGGAAAGCAATAGGCTGTTAAACTGTTGCTTTTTTGTATATATATCCTTTACTTTGTTGTGTGATTTTGGATGAATAGAAAGTGGGATCTAAGTAAAGAAAATGGTATATATAGAAGATAGGAGGTAAAAGAAGATTGTCAAGTTCCAAAGTTAATTTGTACTTTGAATGAGAGGAAGGGATCAACTAGAAGCATGCCAAATAATTAAATTGTTAATTTTTTTTTTTTTTTAAATAAACTTATTAGTTTAGAACTAAAAATGGTAAAAAGTTGACAAACTAGTGTTTAGACTTTAGTTGCTCAAATGCTCAATGTGGAATTAACAATCAATTGGGCGTTTGGTCTAATGGTATGATTTGTGCTTTGGGAGCTAGAGGTCGTGAGCTCAAATCACACAATTAACAATCGAGCAATCTTTCGTCTTGCATGTGGAATCAACAATCGAGCAATCTTTCGTCTTCAAGTGAAAACAAAATAGTACTCATGCATGTGGAATCAACAATCGAGCAATCTTTCGTCTTCAAGTGAAAACAAAATAGTACTCATGCATGTGGAATCAACAATCGAGCAATCTTTCGTCTTCATGCATGTGGAATCAACAATCGAGCAATCTTTCGTCTTCAAGTGAAAACAAACACATGATCATCTCAGAATTTTGACTCTAAAACCATGAGTCATGACAAAACATAAAAGAGAGAGTTTCTGAAATATTTTTCTATATTTTTGCTGGTCAAAGTTACAATATATATCTATCTACTATATATATATATATATATATATATATATATATATCTACATCTACAACTTTAATAAAAGCGAATATTGTTAGACCCTTAACCGGAACAAAAAAAATGCCGGTACGCCACATGCTTAACAAAATTGTACTTTGCGCTTTTCTAATTGTATAATGCCAACTTAAATTCCTAATATAACCTTATTCTTCTAAATTATACCAAACTTTCACTGTTAAACTTAACAATTCTGTCAAAAGAAGTTAAGCGGTGGCAAATTTGAAATTTTCGTAAAATTAAATGGCAATTAACTCAGTTTCCGTAGCCATTCTCCTACACGCCTGAGCATCCTTTCATCGGAAGTAAGAAGAATCACACACCTCCCGTTTAGCGCGATGAAGACTGCCCGCGCCTGAGCCTCCTTTCATCGGAAGCAAGAAGAATCACAGACCTCCGGTTTACCGCGATGAAGACTGCCCGCGCCTGAGCCTCCTTTCACCTAGGTCTTCATCGCATTTTCACTAGAAATCCCAATTTCGAAAACCCTTGCCCGAGCCACAGCTCATGATTCTAGAGCTACTATACCAGGAAACAAGTAGAGGTACTCCGGCATATAATTGCTGTCTGTTGGTTTTCTTGCTTTTTCATTGTGTTTTTCAATCTTTCAATGTTTCAGGTGGGGTTTAAAGTCATTTTTGTTGTTCTTGGTGGTTCTATTAGATAGCATATGATCTAGAAGAAAAGATTGTACAATAAATTAGCCGATGAGGACAATGAGTTTAGGGAAATAGCCTATTGTTCATGAGAATTACAGGCAGAAGAGAAGCTGGGTTTCATGATTTGGCATCTCTGTTTCATGTAAGCATCTCTTACTCTCTTTCAGAAAATAATGAGATTAGGGAAATAGCCTATTGTTGTAGCTATTCATATGAATATAAGATATTCTGTCCCATAAATTATTATAGTATACTGTTTCAATATTTGGTGTCACTGTGTACGACCATAAGAAGCAGGTACCATTTCTTTCTTCTCATTTTGCTCTTTTTTTCCCCTCTCAGAATACTATTTCTTGATTCTCCTCTCTTGATAAAGTTACAATCTTTAGGCTACTTCTTTGCTCCTCCCCGTTTGAGATGTTTTGGTTGCTTTAATGAGCTCATATTATTTGTGTTTCTAATTAAGAACTACTAGGCTAGGTGATGACAGTATTGGGTTTTGCTTCTCACCTCCAATTAAAAATGAAACTAATTTATAGCTCCATTCCCATTGATGCTGCATGTGCATTTCGTATGGAGAACATGTTGTTGAAGATAGTGATGTGATCATATTCTCTGTGAAGCCTCAAATAGGTACACCCAGCATTCTTCTTGTGTCCTTTATCCTTTGTTATATCTCAATACAGTGATACTAATTTATTGTCAGTAACGAAGAAACTACTATTAGCAAATGATGTTGTTAGGAAAGAACAGGACATCTGCAAGTATGCAAAAGCAGTTATCTTCACACCTTAAAGCTCTGTAAGCCCTATGCAAGCTGTGTAGTGCCACTATTGCTTACTTAGTAAATAGACCCAACCTCCTGAAACTACCTTTCTTAATAACAGATGGGTTTGTGCTGGTACTATTTGTAATTTGATTCGAGGTTAATATAATCTAGCACATTTTTTTTTTGCTACGACTAGCATTGGGCTCTTCTTTAATTTTTATTTAGTTATTCCTGTCTGAATTACTTCTTTTTCTTCCTATATATGATACTCCCCTCACAATGAATAGTTTGTAGAGCTGTATATGGTGCTTGCGAGTTGTGACTGTCAATTTAGAATTGATATGGTTGATTTTGAGTATTGATATATTATGGTTTATGGATCTGTAATGCATGATGAATTCATCAATTTATGTGGTCCATTGTTTTTTTTTTTTTTTTTTTTTACATAGCCTTCAAATCAATTTAAACGTCACCAATTTCCAATCAAAGTTTGTTTTGCCATGACAATAAATAAGGCACAAGGACAAACATTTGATTTTGTAGGGATTTACTTGAAACAATCGGTGTTTTCACATGGACAGTTATATGTTGCATTATCAAGAGCAAAGAAAGAAGATTGTGTAAAGATGTTACTTTGCAATACTCATCGCGATACAACTACTACAGACCTAACTGATAACATTGTCTATCAAGAAATTCTAAATGAAGCTTGTGGATAACTTCTTTGATCTAACTAGGTTATTTTTTACACTTTATGTGCGAAATATATTCATTTTTAAAAATAAAACCAGCTTAAGTGAATATAATTTGATTTTAATATATTGTGTCTATACAGATTACTACTCTACGCATTCAAATGCTCGATTTGTCCAACTTATATTGACCTTGATCCGGTATCAATATAAAGAATTTATGATTAGGGTTGTTCTCTCCCAGAGATACAACAACACAACTCTCAGCAGCTATGATTCTCAAGTAACCTTCTTCACCTTTTCCCTTTCTGCTCTAATTATTGATATTTGTTTATCCTTCATTGTTTGCGTTTTCTTATTCTTGATTTGTCAAGTGTTCTACTGTGTCATAGGGTTGTGTTTCCCTATTCTTCATTTTTCTATTTATTCTTGGGTAATGGAATGGTTTGGGTAACAAAATCCTTCATAAATTCACTAGGTGGCCAACATTATATTTTTGGACCAACCAGTTGGAACAGGATTTGGGTTGCACAGTGAATTTGACGGTCTTGATGTAGGCCTCTAATTTTACTTTGTTATTGGGTTGAGGAAGTAAAAATGTGACGAAACGATTACTCTTTTGAGCTTTGTGCCTTTTCTAGGACATGCTTAAGTTCCTGTATTTTGGCTTCCCTAGAGCAAGAATGAAAGACTTCTTGAGTGCCATATGCCCATACATGTACTAAATGTATCAATGTGCTTCTCTAGAAGTGTACCAAAACTGGTAAGAGTTGCATACTCTCTTCTTTCTCTACTTATTTTTCTTGGTTCAATATTGCAACTGGCTCCTATTTGTAAAGTAAAAGGAACTTGATAATGGGTTCTGGAGTCTGAACTTTTTTTTTTTTTTTTTTTAAATTGATGTGGATCTTTCTCTTGTAACCCTTAGCTTGTCCTCAATGCTGTGATTTGTGTATCATGAGATTCAACCATTTCACGTGAGGACATGAATGGAATAAAAAGCAAGAGAATATGCTTTGTTCCTTTTTTAGGAAATGAGTTTGGATCTTTCACTTGTTTTGTTTTCAGTAAAATATGCCATATTGTAATGTGGTGAGTTGATGCTTTGCAGGGAGTTGAGGGAATTGAAGCTTATGGTCTAGACAAGTTGATCCAATTTGCTGCATCTCAGCTTAGTGACCAACTTCCTGAGTCTAGGGAAGCTGCCCGTGCTCTTTTATTGGAGCTGCAAAGTGTCTATGAGAAGATAACAACAACAGTGACTGAAGATCAAGAAGCAATTTCTTGGGAGCAATTTTGCCAATCAAAGCTCTCACCCTTGAACGCTCAAGCTGTCCTTCGAGTGACCAATGTTCCTAGGGAGGGTCTTGTGCAGGGATCCTAACAAATTACAAGCCGTAGCAAGTTTCTTTGGCTTTCACTGTGTTTTGGGTTCATTTTCTTATACCTGTACATACGATGGAAGTTTGAGATGATGAGAGGCGGTTGCAGCAGCATTTATTATTAATCTTGAGAAGTTGGCTTGATAGAAAGCAAAAGACAAAGCCATTTTTTAAGATTATAATCAATTTCTGTTTCATTATTTTAAAAATACATTTCTTTTGTATGTATTATTAGGGGAACAAAGCATCGTGCTATACTTGATGCATTAAAACGCTGTCGAGACTACAATGACGCTGTAATAAAACTTGCAAATCCAGAAACTGCAGAAATTTCTACAATTGATATTATCTCTCCATCAATTGATCCGGTATATATAAAAAAGGTTTTAGACACTAATTCAATATTTTATACTTAACATTAACATTAATTTTTTTACTGATGACAACTTGTAGATTAAACCTATTTGGATAAAATGGAAAATCAGATTTAAGCATCAAATAAAAAACACATGGTACATTGGATGTAGTCATTGTATGTAAAAGGTTTACGCAGAAAGTGACAAACAATTTCATTGCATGCATTGTGGTGAAATGAATGCAGTGGGAACACCACAGTTAGTAACAATTTTTATAGACATTTTATTTATTTTTTTTGTTAGAAGGAGGTCAGTATCAATTTAATCATTACACAAACATAATACAATAATGCTAATCTAAAAACACATAATAGGTGTAAACTGGATGTGGAAATTACTGATGGAAGTGGATGCCTTGTTGCATCTATGTTTGGAAAATGTGCTGAACAACTATTACTCTCAATGAGCAAACAAGTTATGCAATTGGAACAACAGGTATTTCTCCTTTACCACCCACAACCACTCATGTTTTACAATAAACTAACCTATGACTAACTAAATAAACATCTTGTAGGGTCAACCGCTACGATTTCAACATATCAATAACCGCTTACAAGATGAATAATATATAATACAATTGAGGTCTCAATCCTACACACAACAAGGCAAAAACATGGTATCATATACCATAACATCATTGCACGGTTCATTCTCATTCACTACCACAAGTAAACAAGATGCAATAAACAGACCACCAGCAAAAAGGAAACTCAACTTCACTAAAGATGGAGAAGAAGAAGACAATTCCGAGCCTCACCAAACACGCATTAAAAAAATTAATTTACTCTGCTCAAATTACTACTCTTTTCATTATAGATAGTCAGCTTTATTTAGTGGTTTATTTGTTTTTACTTTAATTCTAATTTAGCTATTTCGAATTTCTTTATCTTTTATTACAATATATAATCACCAAGACTATTTCTATATCTTTTATTAATTTCACATTTTTTCTCTCTCATTATTATATTATGTGAATACTTTAACCAATTAAGAAACACTAATTTATAAATACACATTGGGCATTGGTCTAATCGCGCAAAGCGCGTGTCATAACTAGTATATTAATAAGAGACCAAGAGAGTTAGGCCTATAATGGGTAGAAAAAATGGCGGTCAAATTTTTTAATCAAATGAATGGTTTAGATTGATCAGATTTTAATTTTCCCTTAAGATTTCCTAATTTATCCTTAATGAATATGATTATCCGTTATCTTTTCCGTTAATTTCTGTTAGTTCACCGTTAACTTACTCATTGATTTCAATAAAAAAAGGTCTTAGGTTCGAACCCCATCCCAATCAAAATTGGCATAATTAGTACTCTATTTTACTCTTATTAAATTACATAGTAATTTAATAAGAGTAAAATAGAGTACTAATTATGCCAACTTTGATTAGGATGAGGTTCAAACCTAAGACCTTTTTTTTTTTTTTATTGAAATCAATGAGTAAGTTAACGGTGAACTAACGGCAATTCTTAAAATTTTAACGGAATTAGTAACGGTGTGTGGGTATTTTAGGAAATTTTAGTGTAAAATTTAAATCTGATCAATCTTTTAATCAATCTGAGCCATTCATTTGATTAAAATCTGTGACCGCCATTTTTTCTACCAATTATAGGCCCAACTCTCTTGGGCTCTTATTAGTATAGTAGATAGAAATAATGATTTAGTAGCTACAAAAAAAAATAATACATATGCATTTCTTTAATTTAGAATTATGTGCCTACAATGTCTTAATTAGAAAAAAATTATTCATTATCAATAAATTAAATAAGAGAAATAATTTCATTAATCATATTGTCTTTATTTTTCTCCAATATAACAATTCTTTAAATTCAAATTCATCAATTGATTATATTCGTTACATTGTCTCTACAATGTCTTTATTAAAAATAATTATTCATTATCAATAAATTAATTAAAAGAAATAATTTTATTAATTATATTGTCTTTATATTTCTCAAATTTAAAAACTCTTTACATTCAAATTCTTCAATTGATTATATTCACTACATTGTCTATTATCTTTTTTTGTGCACTATTTTTTTAATTAAATATCAAAGTTATAATACAAAATAATGCTATATATTTATTTACCAAGTATTTTATTAATACCATGAAAAAATTAAAAAATTATAATTAATAAAGTCAATCATATTAACTATTTGAGGGATTTGCTTATAAAGAGAGTATTCAAATCACACAACAAATTGAAGTGAGAACTACCTCACAATGTCATTTTTTGAAATCAACAGTTAGCGGTTAGCGTTAGCGGATTTGACCAGCGAATTATATCAACGATTGGTAAAAAGATATTTGAAAAAATTAGCTGTTTAGATTAACATGTAAAATGACCTAAAGGTATAATAATAATAATAATAATAATAATAATAATAATAATAATAATAATAATAATAATAATAATAATAATAATTGATATATATATATATATATATATATATATATATATATATATATATATATATATATATATATATATATATATGCACTCAGGTGCGAATAAGTGCTCAGGAGGAAAATGCGAACGAATCAGCGCGCGACACGTGTCCAGATCTAATAACTTAAAAAAAAACACGGTGGCATTTTCGTAAATAATTGAACATCGAAGTGCAAGTAAAATCACTTACAAGTGCACCTACTTTCACCTATAAGTGCATGTAATTTTGCCTTGTTAGCATTCACTTTCCGCAAACATTCATGCACCTGGTGTGCTTATAACTATATGTGCAACTATTTATAACTATAGGTGCAACTACTTATAACTATAGGTGCACCTACTTTCATCTATAAGTGCATGTAATTTTGCCTTGTTAGCATTCACTTTCCGCAAACATTCATGCACCTAGGTGTGCTTATAAGTATATGTGCAATTATTTATAACTATAGGTGCAACTACTTATAACTATAGGTGCACCTACTTTCACCTATAAGTGCATGTAATTTTGCCTTGTTAACATTCATTGATCTGAGTTCAGCGGGTAGTAATACCCCTGAAAACCACTCGCAAACATTCATACACCTAGGTGCAACTACTTATAACTATGTGTGCGACTACTTAGAACTATAGGTGCAACTACTTAGAACTATAGGTGCAACTAAGTATTGATGCTCAGTGTAAATTTTTACTTGCACCTATAATACATTTTACATGCACTTGTAATACATTTTACTTGCACTTCGATGTTCAATTATTTACGAAAATGCCACCGTATTTTTTTAAAAAATCAGTGTTTCTCATCCATTAGATCTGGACACGTGGACGAACAGAATCCATTCCTATTTCGCGCCTGGGCGAAGCATTCGCACCTGAGTGCGATTCTATATATATATATATATATATATATATAGGTGCAACTAAGTATTGATGCTCAGTGTAAATTTTTACTTGCACCTATAATACATTTTACATGCACTTGTAATACATTTTACTTGCACTTCGATGTTCAATTATTTACGAAAATGCCACCGCGTTTTTTTTAAAAATCAGTGTTTCTCATCCATTAGATCTGGACACGTGGACGAACATAATTCATTCTTATTTCGCGCCTGGGCGAAGCATTCGCACCTGAGTGCGATTCTACACATATATATATATGTAGAATCGCACTCAGGTGCGAATGCTTCGCCCAGGCGCGAAATAAGAATGAATTATGTTCGTCCACGTGTCCAGATCTAATGGATGAGAAACACTGATTTTTTAAAAAAACGCGGTGGCATTTTTGTAAATAATTGAACATCGAAGTGCAAGTAAAATGTATTACAAGTGCATGTAAAATGTATTATAGGTGCAAGTACAAATTTACACTGAGCATCATTACTTAGTTGCACCAATAGTTCTAAGTAGTTGCACCTATAGTTCTAAGTAGTTGTACACATAGTTATAAGTAGTTGCACTTAGGTGTATGAATGTTTGCGAGTGGTTTTCAGGGGTATTACTACCCGCTGAACTCAGATTAATGAATGTTAACAAGGTAAAATTACATGCACTTATAGGTGAAAGTAGGTGCACCTATAGTTATAAGTAGTTGCACCTATAGTTATAAGCACACCCAGGTGCATGAATGTTTGCGGAAAGTGAATGCTAACAAGGCAAAATTACATGCACTTATAGGTGAAAGTAGGTGCACTTATAGTTATAAGTAGTTGCACCTATAGTTATAAATAGTCGCACATATAGTTATAAGCACACCCAGATGGATAAATGTTTGCGGAAAGTGAATGCTAACAATGCAAAATTACATGCACTTATAGGTGAAAGTAGGTGCACTTGTAAGTGATTTTACTTGCACTTCGATGATCAATTATTTACGAAAATGCCACCGTGTTTTTTTTAAGTTATTAGATCTGGACACGTGTCGCGCGTTGATTCGTTCGCATTTCCCTCCTGAGCACTTATTCGCACCTGAGTGCATCTATATATATATATATATATATATATATATATATATATATATATATATATATATATATATATATATATATATATATATATATATATATATAAAATTAAGCCAATCATATTAACTACTTAGGGGATTTATTGACAAAAAAGTATTCAAATCACACAACAAATTGAAGTGGGAAACTACCTCGCATGGTCCTTGTTTGACAATCAGTAGTTAGCTCTTCAATATTAGTATATATTTAATATTTTATACCCTAATTTTTATTTGCTCTCCCTTATGTCCCGTATTTGGTTTCAACCATACCTGTACAATTATTTTATTGACAATTATAATCAATCTTGATTATATTATCTTGCATT